TCTTAACTCTGTGGTTAGGAATGATTTGTTTTGGATTGAATGTGATTTGTGTGCAGATTAGTGTATGAGCGGTTTCCGATGTAAAACGGCCAAGGGGTAAAAGCGGTTGCCTGTCTAGAAGGAGAACATCAGCTTTAAGTCCCTCCACCCCTTGCCAGGGTCGCTCTTTTGCCCTGACGTCTCTTTTTCGGGAAAACGGGGCGGCGTGGGGAAATGAAGTCATTGTTACAAAACATGATCCTGAGACCCAAAGCAGTACATTTCCGCTTCAGTGAAAATTTGGCCAACCCAATCTTCTCCGTTTGCCTGATTCCATCTCTGTCAGGACATGAGACTTTGCCGCTGATCACATGTTCCCACACTGCCTAAGAGGGGAAAAATATGAAACTGCATCAACTGTGGAAAAGAACTTTCTGTTGCTGTTGAATAAATATGCTTGCTATAAAGCTGTTTTTTTCCCCATCAGCTCTCGGTATTTCTTGTTACTAATGCAAGTTTGTAGTGTAAAGTGTGAAGACATTGGTAAAGGTTACTAAGCAAGCCATAACGGCAAGATCAAAAAAATTGGACCTTGATCTTGGGGTGCCCATTAAGTAGATTGAGTTTTGGTAGCGCATAGCATTAATTCAATCACTGCCAACCCTCCCAGTTTTATGCAAATGATATAGGTACCTGTCAAAGGTATTGAATGAGTTCAAAAAAATAAAAATAAAAGTACATTCCCACCTAGAATACGTTCCGAAATTTGGAAATTTTTCACTTAATTGAACTACAGGGGAGCCTGTTGCATGCCTCACTGTCTGTCAATCCATTTATCTATCGATACCAAATATACCAAAATATAGTATACTTAGAATTCTCTGTATGTATTTTTTAAATAACTAAATAATAAATCTGCCATGCGATTGGCTGGCACCCAGTTCAGGGTCTCCCCCGTCCGTCTACTGCCCAAAGGCAGCTGGGATAGGCTCCAGCACGCCCTGCGACCCTTGTGAGGGTGAAGCAGATCAGAAATGGATGGATGGATGGAAATAAATAAATTATTCCTAAACGTATGTTGGACTTGGTCATTTTATCATTTTTGTTATGTATTTTTATTTTAAGCAGCTTGCCTGCTTAAAAAGTGTGGCCACCACTGATCTTTATACATTTTGTGATAGAGCTTCAATGTGACAAATATTGATGTAAGACTCAAGGTCATATATTCCTGGTGTCATTTTTAACTTGAAAGAGAACCTATCTCAATAATAATAGGGATTACATTTCACAAGATTTCTCAGAATGCCAGTCAATACATTCCAATTCAATAGCAGTTATTTGTGTGCGATTGGCTTTGGCCCAAAGTTAGCTAAATTGAGTGTTCATGTTGACATATTGCATGCTGTTTGCAAGAGATGTAAAATTGGTGGAGACCGCCATATTTAAAAGAGGGTTTTGCGCTTGAAGTCGCACTGGTGCTTTTCACAGTGGGAAATATGAATGAGTGCCACAAGGGTAAATTTGATGTGATTGAATTTTAAATGCTAGTGGAAGTCAAATACATATATTATGAATTCCCCAAAATAAATCACGCTTGGGGTGAAGCAAGCAATAACGTAATAGCCATGTTTTGTTGGATTTAGCTCAACCTGAGTGCCTTCTGCATCACAAAATAGGATTTAAAACTTGGGCGCACCCGAATAGCTGGTCTGAATGATGCCAGTAGCAACCAGTTTTCACTGTGCAAAAATAACCCAGATGGAAGCAAATACAGAGATGAAAGGAGTTTTATTACAGGTCACTGCCTCCAAGTAGATCATTCAGATGCTTAAAAATTGCATTGCTGAATAGACATGTTGCAATCATTTTTGTTTTTAACATTTAAAAAAATGTTTACAAGAGCAAAATGTGTCTTTCAGTCCCCGTTGCCTCATATTTTGCCTGTGCCTCCTCGTCATGGTTATATGCACAGTGAGCCGGTAGCCCCTGCCTTTTAGAAACTGTATTTAAAGATGCAAAATAAGCCACGACAATTCATCCCTACTTGCATATTCTCCTCCCAGAGTGAACAAAAATAACTGTGGCAATATAGCGCATTTAGTAGATCAGCTTCTGCAGCAGATGAGCCATCAAGTTTGTAACAATTTTTGCAGATGCAACCTTTTTAATAAATCAAGCCTGGCCGTTTGTCAGCAGCGCCTGTGCTGGTCGTAGCCAAGTACTGCACTCTCATACTTTTGCCTCCATTGCTTCAAGAAACCATTACAACAATAAATTTCGCAGTCAACATAATTCCGCAACAAATAAATAACCGACTAATCAGTTATTATATCCATCCCTAATACATACCATGATAGATAATCTCCATAGATGAGCTAACTCAAAGTAGTGTTTCAAAAGACTCAAAGTGTTTTGTTTTATTTTTTTAATGCACATTTTTGTGTGTGTCTGCCTGTGTATTTAAACATTTTTGGGGGTTCTCACTGGCTTAATTTGAGCCGTCCCAAAAAAATGTACAATTGTGTGGGGTTTCAGCTGCTCACAGCTCAGGGTGTCGAGGGAAAGAATGCAGCTTCAACATGGACTCTGTAATTTGCTGCCTCTCATCAAATCAGACAGGAGTGTATGTGTGTGTGCCTGTTTGTGAAGAGTAACAACAGTCATGTGAGATGAGGAGGGTGAAGAGTGTGCAGCGGTGAGAAAAGACATTTCTTAAGTGCAATGATTGCCACTTAAGGAAGTCGATAACGTGAACCTGAATCAACAAGAAACGTTTAAAACAGAATTTTAAAAAAACATTTCTTTGACAGGAGTTTATTTACAATCTATTCCTGCTCTGACTGACTCACACTTTACCAAATTGTGGCACCAATAAACACCTGAATCTGACCGCGCTAGAACAGTTACTGACAGACAAATCAGTGGAAGTCGTCAAACATGATTTAAAAAAGCTCATTCATTCATTCATTCATTCATTTTCCGATCCGCTTTATCCTCACAAGGGTCGCGGGGGGTGCTGGAGCCTATCCCAGCTGTCTTCGGGCAGTTGGCGGGGGAAACCCTGAACTGGTTGCCAGCCAATCGCAGGGCACACAAGAGACGAACAACCATCCGCACTCATACCTAGGGACAATTTGGAGTGTTCAATCAGCCTGCCATGCATGTTTTTGGAATGTGGGAGGAAACCGGAGTACCTGGAGAAAACCCACGCAGGCCCAGGGAGAACATGCAAACTCCACACAGGGAGGCTGGAGCTGGAATTGAACCCGGTGCCTCTGCACTGTGAGGTCGACGCGCTAACCACGGGACTACCGGGCCACGCTTAAAAAAGCTCTGGATGTGAAATGATTGGTCCACTATGTGGGGAAAACAAGTAAACAAAGCAAAAGCACGAGTTAAAAAAGAAAAAGTAGCACAGTGAATTGCTTCTGTCTGCTTTGGACCAAACCACATTGCCTGAGGTCTCACCCTTGAAAACCGTCTGTGTGTCTGCGTGTGGGTCTTGTTCATTGTGCTCTGTACTGAGACAAGAACCAGACCACCACACTGAGTAGGAACAGTCAGTAGCTGATAAGACAATACTGTCCAGATACTGCCAGAATTTACGTGTTTTCTTTTTTTCCCCGTCCCCTGGGGACTATTTATAAATCAATCCACCGTCAATCATTGCCCATTGAGACATTTAGAGTGTGTTTAATGTTGTGGGCTTTGTGGTTTTTACTTTGGCAATAAACTGTCTGAGTTGACAAGTGTGTATGCGTGTTATCAGAAGTCAGTCAGATACAAGGACAGCTGGCGTGTTTCAACAGCAGGTTGTAGGAATGTGCCGAAGAGGCACACACTTGGAAGCACATCTGTGTGTGTTTGAAGCTAAATGAATGACTGTGTGGGAGATGTTCCTGAATGAGAAACTCCAAATGTAGTCATCAGTGGGGAATTTTGTCATTAAAATCTGTTATTCTACTTCCTCGTAAAGGTGCTTGCGAGTGCACAATAGTTTGTTGTAACGCATGCGTCTCTGTCTTTGAAGCATATCGCAAACAACTACAGTTCAGCTGGTCACAGCACATTTTGGAACACCAATCCTAAAATCGGGCTTGTGTTTCTACCATTGGATGACAATTAGGGCGGTAGGCCAAAGCCAAGATTCTATCATATCTCAATTTCTGACTCAGTTTGATTAAAAAAAAATATATTATCTAAAGTCATAAAATGAATTCAATATAAATAAATATGTATTAATATATGTATATGAGTTCTTTGGAAGGATTTAAGTCAAATAGTCTGGGTTTTATCGACTATGTGATTTCCATTTTCAGTGTCAACCAGGTCACCAAAAATGTTCCAGTACAATGGGACAATGGGAATATCAAAATGGTGAACTTCTACAGAGCTGAACAGAATTTATTGGTGACAACTTGGCATGAGTGTGGCCATTGGTAATATAGTGGTTCACATAGCAGAATTCTATGCAGCTATTGTGGGATAAGGGTCCCTCTTAATGGGCCAGCGAGTCCCCCTCGAAGAGTTTGTCTGTCAAGGTCTGTGAAGGACTGAGCATGTTATTACTCTCATTTACTCCATCTATTTTCATGTTTTTTTTGGCCTTTCCTTCTTTTGTAGGGCTGAGTTCAGCAGAGCTGAGGGAACCAGCCTGGGCTCCAGCTGCATGAATTTTGCATTTAGCCTGAGCGAGGTAAGTCATAAAGCATCAACCATAAATCTGCATTTGATATTCAACAGCCATGCTCAGCAGCGTCTATTCCACAAGTCTCAAACTCAAGGCCCGGGGGCCAGATGCGGCCCACCACGTCATTTTATGTGGCCCGCGAAAGCAAATCATGTGTGTCCACCTGCATGATCCTTGCTAAAATCGTTACCCCAATGTCAAATTGTCATGTGTACTAAATAACGTTGAGAATCTGTCATAATTTTTTTTACCCTGTTTACACCCACTCAAACAATAATTGAACAAACTGTGATAGTTGACTTGCCTGAAATCCAAAGTAGCAATGCATTAATTTGTTGTGTACACGTAATAATGCGATGAGATATTCAACATTTTTGTGGTTTCATTGTCATAACGACCCTCTGACAGAAGACGTAACACTAAAGTGGCCCGCGACAAAAATGAGTTTGACCCCCTCCACACACACACACACACACACACACACACACACACACACACACACACACACCTGGTCTATGCCATGCATCTCTAACTGCAGTGGAATACTATTGTGTCCGACTGCAGAAAGAACACGCAAGTAAAGAGGTCAGAAGTTTGACATCCTGTATGAGGTGATGTCGTCGTGTGGAAAAGCAATCAGCTAATATATGAGTTAACAAAGCATTCTATCTCTGCAATGGATTAGTTTCAATTCGGTTAGATAGCATGGGGAAAATCAACTTTGTGAAAACAGACTTCTTTGGACTTTGCTGAGCAGTTTGTTCTTATTTTACTGTACACCTTACCTGTATATTAAAATATGGATAGATCAGTTAACGACTGATTGTCATGATGACGTGTTGACCCTTCACACTGTAATATTTACAGTAAGTACCAGTAGGAAGAGAACGGGTTTCCCTTCGGGGCAGCAATTTTTCTTTATCAGTCACACTAAGTAGGGGAGTGCTTTGGACATGACATCAGTTTTATTTCCTGTCACCGATGACAAATGTAAATATGTGACTGCATGCTTTCCTAGCCAGGTGTCGTTTGAGGCTGTGCGTGCTGAAAGGCCCTCTACCTGAAAGATGACTCAGTCAGTGCAAGTTAACCCAAAGCTGCCTGGTAAGTTAATCAGTACAAAAATCTCTTCTAGGATGCAAACACGACCTGTTTAAGTTTAGAACAAATTATTCACCTAGAAATAGAAATAACCCATTCTCAGGTCAATGAACACATCAAGTACCATAACATTCTCAACCGCCATGCAATTGTGAACAGATCCTAATTGCTGTCAGTCACAAGCTTGAAAACATAATTGTGTATGACGGTATAGAGCAGGGGTGGGCAATCCCAGTCCTGGAGGGCCGCTATCCTGCATGTTTTCCATCTGTCCCTGTTGCAACACACCTAATTCAATTGTTCAGGCCTCGACAGAGCTTGCTGATGATCTGACCATTTGAATCAGGTGTGTTGGAGAAGGGACAGATGGAAAACATGCAGGGTAGCGGCCCTCCAGGACTGGGATTGCCCACCCCTGGTATAGAGAATTAATAACCCAAGTGAAAGAAGCAATTTTCATTAGAACTATTAATTTGATGGCTATTAACGAAATGATTTGATAAGAAGATGAAGCATACTTCCTGCAGAGGATAGCTGGAGAAACAAGTTGGCTCTGGGAGAACTTGAGAAGGGCACAATTAAAATTTAAAAATTGTACTAATTCACAGATCAGAATTGGTGAGAAGACATAGGTAGTAGTAGTAATAACTGGCGTGGTTTTGTTTTGGATCTCATTATGGTGTACCAATTTTTTTTTTTTTTTGTGTGAGAGAGTTTCAGCGTCTGCCATTTAGTTCAGCCACGTGTCCAATTTTCCTTCCAGATTTGGCCTCTCCCTTTCTCTACTCCAGTCAAGAGCAAGTTGACCAGCCGTCATCTTACTCCGTACAAACACCATATGGTTTCCAGCTTGATTTGGATTTCCTGAAATATGTGGAAGAGATAGAGAGTGGGCATAATCTTCGTAGGGCAGCTGTCACGTCTCGTCGGTCCGGACGGGGGCTCAAAACCTCTCAGAGATATGTTGGGGGGCGCGCCAGCGGCTGGACTTCCACAGAGTCCCTTTCCTCTCCTGCTAGTGAGGATGGCAGGGTGCCTCCCCTGCCGCCGCCAAGAAACCGCCTTGGCTCCGCCCCTTGCGAAGTGCTTTCTCTCTCCCCTGTGACTCTCCTCAGTGTTCCCCCACTGACTGCCGGTGCCAAAGTACCACCCCCTCCACCACAACGCAACCCTCGAGTTGAGCGAACTCTTCTTGAAACTAGCCGGCGGCTACAGCAGGAGCAAAGCCATCACGATGGTGGCCGATTCCAGCTCGCAGATCCTCCCAAGCAGCTGTCCGCCTCTGCGTCAACTCAGCCTCTGCAGAGCAGCTGGACTAAACCTAGTCCTCAAACCTCTGGACTCAACACTCCTGCCGCTGGCACGACAGTGCCCCCCAGCCAACTGCAGACAGTTCGAGAGCAGATGGCTACGGCCTTGAAACAACTGAAGGAGATGGAGGAACGAGTAAAGGGTGTTCCGGCTCTGGAAAAAGAGGTGGCTGAGCTTCGTGTCGAGAAAGACATGCTGTTGTTAGCACTTCAGGAGAAGAAAGCAACAAAGAAGCCACAGTTGGTCGACTCCTCTTCGCAGACCACAGAGTCCTCCAAATCCAGCCCAAATATCCAGAGTCGATTAAGTTGCCCAGCCTCACCTGGTCACAAAGGTCACAAATCTGAGGAATTGAAAAAGCTTGCTGAGAAGTTTGAGGGGAAAGATGGTTGTGCAGCACAACTTTCATCAAAAGTTGTACCGAAGGCTCCTGGGAAGCCATCTGTTGACAAGAAATCCGTGGCTGTGGGAGATGATCAGCCCATAGACTCAATTGTTTTCTATTACAGCCACAGTGTGAAAGACGCCGCTGTGGGAACTGAGCTCCATGTTCGTGAGAAGGGCACAGGAACTGAAAACCCTGTGCTTCATCAGCAAGGAACACAGGTCAGAGCAGAGACAGCGGAGGTTGGGGTTTGGGTTATGGAGTCACTACTTGGGCTGACGTCTGAGGCGCAACGTGAGCTGGACACCTTACAGGACACCATTAAATTCCAGCAGGAGTCCATTACGAGTCTTGAGAGCCAGCTGAGCTTGGCAGACAAAGATCTGAGAACTCTCCGAGCGCAGATTGAGGAGGTAGCGCTTAAAGTCACGTTTGAGAAGGGAGTGCTAGCTAAACCCATTGCTAAGGATGCCCAGATCGGGACGACATCCTCTACCCTAAAGGATGCTGCCGTTTTGTGCTGCCCAGCTGTGACGGATGTCTGTGTAGGTAACAGCTTTGCACCAGAGTTGATCGAGCAAAGTGCCCAAACTGATACTTTAACGACAGCAGAAGAACCAGTATCTGTTGTCACGGCCACCATTGGTTGCCAGTACGAAAACATGCTTGATGACAAGAGTGAAGACCAGAAAGTTACTGTGTTAAAGAAGAGACAGCTGACCATAAATGATTACAAGATCTTTCCAGAAGAGGCAGTGAGTGTGTCTGAGGAGCGAGAGGAAGGCCATGGGAACACGACGACACCCGACAATCTCAAATCAGGTACCTTAACATTGTTATAATGATCTTCTCTTTCAAGTCTCCAGTTCACTTTTGCTGGTCCAAATCAGTTTGAAATGTGTTCTGTTTCCCAAATAGTTCTGTTTATTTTCCAACGGTAAAAAAACTGTAATGAAACCAAAATGCGTCGCAACAAACCACGAGCGATTGTGATTGCGCCCTTCTCTTATTGCTCACAAAACTGTAAACAGGAAGTTTGGGTGTATTGACTAGTAATTGAAATAGCTCGACTAAAAACCGCATGCAGTGAAGTCACGCTTTGTTGACAACTTCAATTTGTTTTATACATGCTCTACAATACTCCAGTAAATAACCAAGAGCACTTGAAGGGGACCCCCGGAGCAAATGATCCTCCTTCACGCAGTGAAAAGACATCCTGCTACCAGGCGATATACGACTACACATGCTAAACCAAATATACCAAAAAACATCCATAATTTCACTTTTCACATTTCAAATTTGTTGTCAAACTAAACTACACCTCCACCCCAACCTGAACTCTGACCCTGATCAAATGAACCACCTACATTTTGAGTCAAGTGTAGCAAAGTGTGTGAAAGCACCCGTCGTTGCAAATTTAAACCGGCCTGAGATACAGTAGCGATTCCTTGAAAGAACGCACTTGTCTTAATGCGTTGAATTGTTATAACTCTTATGATATCTGATGCTTTCATATTTCATCCGTAATAGAAACAGGCATGCTGAAATCAATCATGAAGAGGAAAGATGGCGCAGTTGAAAATCGCACGACAGGCAAGAAGAGCTTGCAGTTTGTTGGCATTTTAAATGGAGGGTGGGTGCTCCAGTTCATGAATTGTTTAAAATCTGTTTACAAAATCTCATCCTCTTGCATAACCCATGAAAATATTTGCAGCATTGCTTAAAATTAAGAAAAAGCCAGGCCAAGCGCAAATTTGAGAGGTTTCATTGTATTTATGTTAATTAGGTATGAATCGACATCCAGTGAAGAAGAGGAAGATGAGGAGGAGGAAGAGGAGGAGGAGGAGGAAGAGGGAAGCTCCTCTGAAGGAAGTGGAGAGGGGGACTGCTTGGATAGCACGGAGGAGGATGAAGTGGATCTGCAGGAAGAAACGTCGGAGGAGGAAAGAAACGTCAACCTGGATGAGAGCGACACTGATGAGGAAATTCTGAGAGCGTCAAAGGGCTCATCTGATGGCGTCAAAGAGAAGTGTGTACTTCACTGTCGCCTCCATTTTGATTCATGCATCGTTCACAACAAATTTGTGAAAACAACAGAATACTGTGTGTTTTCACGAGGTATTTAACTACTGTTTTGTTGGTAACAGGTTTGAACTGAGCTCCAAAATGCGTGAAGCTTGCCTCATTCTCAAGAATCACCTCAACGATGACATCCAAACACTGAAGAGTAAGGAAGTGGTGCGTCCCTGCATGCTTCTTTGAACCATTTCAGTTTCTTTCTGTAATTAGTAACGGCGGTTGACGGAGGCAGCGTGACAGCGTTTTGGAGACAGTTTGCAGTGATAGCAATTCAGACTTATTTTCTTACATTCAGAAATGGGAAATGAACTGAGCCTGATGCTAACAATGAGGAATTCTCTCAACACTCTGTGGATTGTTTGGTCACTCTGAACCCCCCCCCCCTCCACACACACACACACACACACACACACACACACACACACACACAAACAATCAATCCAAGCGATCAAATAGCATTCCAATGGAAGTTGTGTTGCTAAATGTACTTGCAGCTCGCCAGCACTCACATGGTCCAGCTCGAGTGGTTCCGTGTTTCCAGCGCCAAAATGGCTCAGCCTTCGCGGGTACGCGACTACCTGATGGCGTTCTCCGAGGTGTCCGCGCTGCTGCTTGAGCATGTGGTCAACATGACCGATGGCAACGGCAACACCGCTCTGCACTATAGTGTCTCACACTCCAACTTTGGGGTCGTGGACCTGCTGCTGGACACAGGTCAGTGCTCATAGCTCTCCTTAGCGACCCTCCTGTTCTTCTACAGGCTAAAGCTCATTGATATTCCAAGCAAATATTGTACAGTATGCTCGACACTCACCAGACACTTTGTTAGGCGCTCAAGCAGTCTAATGAAATGCAATACAAGAGCTGTATCAAAAATTCTGCTTGAAAAGATAACTGGAATAGCACTCAGATCATATGGAGCAGTGATTTATACATGTATACACAATACAGTAGTGTAGTGGTCCCGCGTTCACTGTAACGTACGCAGTTTTAACATGAACATTGCGTTTAAACATAGGAAAGCAAAACGACTGTACTGAAACAATGATTCAATGTAAGCCGATTGCACAAGCAAAATAAAAATTGCAACTACAGTTCTAAAATATTAAATGAATCTGTACTGGACTGAAAAGTGGTTCCAGATGAACTGTACTGAGCCGTTCTGGTTTCAAACACATTTTAAGCCACTGTACAAATATGAACAGTTTCACCATTTAAATTGCCTACCAGTAGAGGGAGAACACGTCATCTACACTCTTGACCTTTATTGAGCCTACGCACTCGTTTTACACACACCAAAAAAATCTCCCGGCACATTACCAAACAAAAATGTTCTGAAATAACAATCATCATGTCTTGAAGAGTTTACTCCAAAAATGAACTTACTTAGGATGAAATATGAGATCTTCATTATTTCAATACTTATACGTTTTGTGGCATTTTCTTTGGTGGTGGAAATGAGTGCTTTGGTTCAGTAAAGTGCCAGTAAACATGGATCTAGACTTCCGGCATGTCCTGCACTGCAGCTCCATCTAGTGCAAGGGTGGGCAAATTTTTGTACTCAAGAGCCACACTTCATCTTTAAAAGGTCATTTGTTGATTAAGTATTTTAAAGAAAATGTTAAAATATGTAGGTTAACAATAAATGTAATTTTAAAAAAAATCACATTTAGTGGGTGAGGTGGAGGAAACTGCTAACTGAGTGTAACAAATATTACACGAATGTTGGTAATGTCATGACTTGGTGGGTCATACAAAAGAATAAAGTAGGGAATGGCACACTGGCTGGACTTGGCCCACACTTTGTCTTGTGCATCTGGTCCACTGCACCACTTGGCCCCAATGCAAGCAAGAAGCAACATTTTCCCTCTTTGAAGCATTGCAGTTGTACATTGCTGCAAACGGCTACTAGGATAATAAACATATATTATTGTTCAGCTAATAGCCGTCTGACAGTGTCAACACCCGAGTATTTCATTTGTACTGGCCGGGTTTTTACATTGAATCTGATGACTGGAGATAAGCTTGTTTGCCTTTGTTGTCTCAAAGGCTTCAATGAGACATCTGCTTATTACAGGCATGTGCTGCGTGGACAAGCAGAACAAGGCGGGCTACACGGCCATCATGTTGGCTGCTTTGTCCACGGTGAAGGAGGACGATGACATGTCTGTGGTCAAGAAGCTCTTCAGCAAGGGCAACGTCAACGCCAAAGCCAGCCAGGCATGTCACCAGCGACTTTAGTAGCTATCACACTTGATCTTTGCCTTGTACCAAACAACACCAACATGGTTCCTAGAGATGATGTGGGACCGTGTGAAATGTGAGATCATGAATAGCGTTATTGGCGCTCATCAAGAGCCATGTACAAAGCAGTCTAGTTCAAGTTTCCAAGAATCGATAATTATGAGGACGTGGGAAGTCGTAAGCTACGTGATAAAAGTCAATACAAGACACTGCAAAGGTCACACTAATGATGAAGGAGTTGCATCATATTTTGTTGGTATGATTTAACATTATGTAATGGATTTTGAATAGTTGTGTTGGTACCATAAAAACGCAGCACTCCCGCATTCGGTATAATGTGGCGTGTAAACTTCCGGTCAGCATGTAAAACGCATTGTGATAACATGAAACTTCTTAATATAGCCAAACCTCGGTTTTCGTCCATAATCCGTTCCAGAAGGCTGTTCGAAAACCGAATTGTTCGAAAACCGAAACCACGCTCTTTTTTTAAAGAAAAAAAAAGTTTATTGAAACACGTCTGCTCACAATGGAAAGCAACACGAGGAAACGTCACTTCCTCATCTACCTGAGGAAGCGTCATTTCCTCGTGTAAGGAAGGCGAGAGGAGTCAAGTGGTGCATTCAAGTGCGCTCAGTTTGTTCGAGAACCGAAATTTGTTCATCATCCGAGGCATAAAAAACTCGAAATTTTTGGTCGAAAACCAAATTGGTCGAGAACCGAGACATTCGAAAACCGAGGTTTGACTGTACTTCAAACTGAGTTGACGCTGAACGTTGCGCACGTCGCATTGATGACTTTGAAATGTATAAGCTTTTGATACTGTTTCTACCTCAAAGTTTTTGCACCAAACTATTGTATTCTGTATGAATATAGCTCTGAGACAACCCCAGGTTATCACACATTTAAGGGCAGAGGTTATTTTTCAGTCAGATGACATCCCCGTGGCATTTACCATATGAAAATGCTAAACAGTGGAAAGCAAAAGGTCCATTGGTTCCACTGTAGATTCAAAGTGGTCAAGCTAATGCGTAGCCTCGTGTCACATATAAAGTGTTTGTGGTCTTCTCTGTTCGGATGATTTCATCAGGTTGTGAACTGCATGCAACAGACACACGCTCAGAATAGGAAGTCATGAGACTGGCTTCACAGCCTGGACTTGAAATCCGATTATTGATGCTTGTTGTTGCTCTGAGGAGCACAAAGCATCGCATGCAGTGAAACTTTATGCTGACGGGCTATTTATACGTTGCTTCTAATTAGTCACACAAAGTTTTCCATTTGAGAGCAATTGCCATTTAAGAGCGGAATCGACCACTTCAGACGACTTTGGGCTTTTTATAACAATGCGTGCTCTTTTATGATATTTATAACACTTTTATAGCACTTCTCTCCATGCTAAATCATTAATTGGAGACAGAAGAAGCACGAAGAAGAGAAGAGAGGCGTGCTTGTTTTTGGAAGGTCAGTTTTTTGGTTCGCTACTAGCAGAACAAATTGCCTCTTCCTAAATCACTGAAGATAAACAGAAATTAAACATCGCTGCGAGCATAACTAATATTATCTATTTTGATTTGGGTTTTGATTTCACCCATTCCCGTCATTTGACACAGTGGTAATCGACGACTATATAAACAAAGATGCGTTGTTTTATGTGGTGGGGTTTGAGACCTAGCTTGACTTGACTGCTATGCGCAGGTCAAATGTCAACCCAGTGATAGCCGCTTTACGCTATTTTGGAAAGTCCCCATACGATTGTCAAATACTGTAAGTTTCTTACTACCTGTGCAGGCAGGTCAGACGGCGCTGATGCTAGCTGTGAGTCATGGCCGTCAGGAGATGGTGGAGGCGCTTCTGGAGTGTGGCGGTGATGTCAACGTGCAGGACGACGAGGGGTCCACGGCGCTGATGTGTGCCAGCGAACACGGCCGAGCTGAGATTGTCAAACTCCTTCTGGAGCAGCCTGGTTGTGACATCTCCATCGTTGATAATGTGAGAATATGTTCTTCAGTCACACACAACCAAAGCCACATAACTGGACTTCACTCAATGATTGGACTATCGTGGAAAATTATTTCAGTACTATTATTCAATTCATAGTGGGGGGGAATTGAAACACATTATTGACTGTAGGCAGTGATAAATATTTCTCATTTTATTTTTCTAGAACTTTGATGACTGCCACTTAGAGCAAACAAAAACTCAAAATTCACAATCTCAAGAAATTAGAATGGAAGATATCAGGACTGCTGGAAGGTCCGTCAATCCATCACTGACAGACTCCCGCTTTACCGGTGAACTGATGACTGATGGAAACTGTGAAACACTGACGGACTAAGCACCCGATGGAAAAGTTTTTTCGTCCGTCACCCAAAAAGTCATTAAAAGTCATTATGGCCAGCACGTCAGTACCTACGGAATGTCCATCAGTCCATTAGTGACGGACTCCCATTTCGATGACAACTGATTGTCTCGTCTCGCATGTGTTTGATTTTCGTAAGTCAGAATTTCAAATTAATTGATACAAGTTAAATTAAGCCAAGGTAAAAAAAAAAGTAAATGCGCCAGTCAATTTTCAACTCAAATGTAATTGTTCAGAGTTTATTTTGTAATATCAAAGCAAGCTATTTATTGAACTGCTATCCGAGATGAGTCGCAAATGAGTAGTGTTCCATGTCAAAATAAGAGCCCAATTCTTATTTTTTTCACATGTACTTGCAGTATAACCAATATTTTACAATTACCCAATGATTACTCTGGTCTGCATTAAAAAATATACAAGAATTACATGAATATAGATCTTTTTTTTTGCACTGTAGACAGTGTTAATGTGCATTGATTTCATCCCCAAAATGATTTTCTTGCTCTTTTTTTAAAAAAACATGTTACATTATACAGTACATATATTAAAAAAATGGGAGCATATAGAGAAAAACTAATGAGATGTTTGTCTTCTACATCTGAAACTGTCCTAGAAAATGCTGAGGGCTACTTAGTCTACACTACGCATTTTTTTAATGCGGACCTGTGTTATTGTTCCATATTTAATAAATGTTCTTATATATTTCCTTATTGCGGTGCAGTATACATAAATCATTTACAACAAAGACAAACATATTGTGTTTGTGACAAATGCCTGCTTGTTCTGAGCATGCCGTCTGCCTGATCTGAGCTCAAGCCGCGTGACCGCGTTTACATCTGTGATTCAGCTTCATCTGTTCTCAGGAAACATCTTGTCGGCGTTTGTTTACTTGCCTCCAGCTTTTTTTTGGGTTTTGGTATTGGTTTAGGCTTTTCTTTCCATCCCAGCAAGATAGAACAAGAATCTGATCATTTTTGTCTGTTTTAGCCCAAACCCAAATTGTGCTGTTGACGAGGTACACGGACACAAAATGCCCCCCCACCCCCACTTCAAACGAATGCACATGGTGTCATTTGTGTGCATTCGTTGGCGATTGATGACAATTTAAGATTTACCAACCCTTTCAACCAACCAATCAAGCCATAACCACTTTTATTTTATTTATTTTATTTGTTTTAAATCGTATGAGTCAGGATGCTTGGGGGAAAAATGTCCAGACAAGCCGACACTTCCGAACTGACGTTGAGCCAGAATGAGTTGGCCACTGCTGGATTGTGCACAGCTGGACTGAATGTCGGGGGGGAACTCCAAGCCCACACATCATCACAAACCAGGATTGAAAAGCAATTCTACCCTTTTGAGTAGCTGGGTATCAGTCGAGGCCGTGGTTGTATAATGGTTCGTACCCCACGTTGTGGCCGAAGCAATCCTGGTTCGAATCCTGGTCACTGCAAGTCCAAAGCCCATATTTGACTTCTGGTGGTCCATCCAGTGGTTAGCTCGTCGACCTCAGAGTGCAGAGGTCGTGGGTTCGATCATGTCTGGGCTTCCTGTGTGGAGTTTGCATGTTCTCCCCGGGCCTGCATGTGCTTTCTCCGGGTACTCCGGTTTCCTCCCATATTCCAAAAAACATGCATGGCAGGCTAATTGAACACTCACAATTGTCCCTAGGTGTGAGTGTGAGTGCGGATGGTTTGTCTCTGTGTGCCCTGCGATTGGCTGGCAACCTGTTCAGGGTGTCCCCCGCCTACTGCCCGAACATGTCTGGGATAGGCTCCAGCACCCCCTGCGACCCTTGTGAGGATAAAGCGGATCAGAAAATGGATGGATGGATGGATGGGTATCAGTCAAATTTATGTTATCTGTTGAAATGTTATATCAGGGGTAGGGAACTCCGGTTCCTCAAGAGCCATGTCCTGCTTGTTTTTGATTTCTCTCCACTTCAACACACCTGATTCAAACAATCAGCTCACCAGCTAGCTCTGTAGAAGCCTGAAACATTCATCATCAATTGAACCAACTAAAAATGGTTGCAGAGAGTGCGCAGTTTAGTGGTCACTGTTCATTGTCTCCGCCCTACTCAGGATCGCAGCACAGCTGGAGTCTATTCCAGCTTTTGCTAATCTTTTTTCTTTTTTTTTTTTCTCCTCCCATTGGACTGCAGGATGGCAGCAACGCTCTCTCCATCGCTGTGGAAGCGTCTCACAACGACACTGCTGTGCTGCTCTACGCCCATATGAACTATGCAAAAACTCAGTCTTCTGTGGTAAGCGCTCCACCTTATTTCTACAATTTGTCCACATACAAACAAAGATGAAACGGCAAGAAACATCAGGCTACCGTTAGATTTCAGGTTTTAGCACTAATGAACATTATTAATACCTACAGTACTTTTCAGGGTCTAATTACAACACACTTAAACTCTTGTGCAGTGGTTTGCTGCCCCCTAATGGAATAGTGCTGCTCTTACATAGCCTTTTCTTTCAGTGGTACGGTACCTATTCTGCTCAACAGTAGTGATTCCCATCCAGGGTGCCTTGCCATGAGAGGTCATCAGGGGTTCCATGGCAAAGTTTCTAATTTCACTCAATTTCTCCAAAAACGAATGACATGAATTAAAAATATATCTCTGCTCACCTATCTATCTATGACAGTGACATGAAAGTGACAGGAAGAACAATCAAAAGTTCTTCCATGAGATGCCAGAAGCAGCAATAAACTGTGTATCTGCCTGTTGCCATTCATGCAACAGAATCAATCATGCCTTCCTCTCCGTAAGTCAGTTTAGTCCCAGTAAATTGAGATGAGATCATCATTTCAGTATTCATACCTTTTGTGACATTTTTGGGGGATGGTGTAATGTAAGATCTTTGTCATGAAAAGAATTCTGCAGGACTGTGAAATTTCCACGGCTTAGCGGAATTCTGCGGATTCTGTTTTGAAAAATATTTTTCACAAAACCTCTATTTTTACATTAAAAATTATTGGTGAGTACGGGTCTACTTGGCTTTAATAGCGACCATGCCTCCCGCAACCCGAAAAAATAAAAATCAATACCACAGTAGCAGGCCTGCTCGGCCCGAAGGTCAGTCCAGCCCAAGTTGAACTCAAACTCGCAGGAATTTAACAGACACACAGGATCTTCAATACCTCTGAGTCTGGTTTTTTTTGGTTTGTTTTTATGTAAATAATTTTAATTTTCAGGATGATGAATGATTATTGTCTAATTGTTCAGTAATTTTTTTTATATAACTTGTTGTATGAGCTGAGTGGCAAAGTTCAAAAAAGGTGTTTGATCCATGATTGGACCAATACATTTCCTCAGTCAGTATTTATCGTAAGATATTTAATATGTCTTCATCACACTTTTCATCATCCAATGTACATTATTTGTAGTCAATGAATAATCATTTTTCGACCAATTTCTGTTTGTGAAATTGGATTATTTCCCATGGCTCACTGTATACAAAAATGCAAACACAAATTGTGTATCGATTCTCATTAGATTGTTTTTCAGTACATTTGTGAGTGAAATGAGATCATCATTGTTTCCGTGTATAGTACAACACTTTTTTGTGTCAATTTTGTGAGGAGGAATGCCCTCAGGTTTTTTTTTTTGTCATGTAAAATCCATGCCTTGGCACAATAAAGTTTTGGAAATCCTGCTTTGCATTTTGGGTTTCAGGGAAGCCCAAAGTCTCCGAGGAGCCCGACCAGCTGCCACAAGTCCTGGTCCGCAGAGTGACTTGGCAGCAGTGGAAAAGCAACGCAAACTGGATCCGGGCTGTGAATGGCTCCACTGGAAGTCTCAATGTATTTATATATTGTAATACGCCCTCTGTTTAAAGTATTGTTCATATGAGAATATTCGTTTTCCATAAAGATGAATGAAAGTTATATCGTCCTTGACTAATGAACTTTTTGCATGTCAGTTACAGGAGTTGGTTTTATTTGCACTCCACTAACATTTTCTCCTCGATGGGCAACACGCACCGCAGCATAACACTGCCGATTTCAAGTTGAAGACTGAACTGAAAAACTCAACTCACCGCAGTTTCTTGAGACAATTCACACCAATGCTGCAAAATTAGCTGCCGCCGAGCAGATATGCCAAAGAACACATCACAGTACATCATAGATGTATGATACCTGATGAACGTACTGTATAGCTTTGTGATAAATGTTCATCTCTAGCATGGCCAAAAAAAAAAAAAAAAAAAAACCACACAGACATACAATCAGGAGAAGAATTTCGACCACCTTGTTTTCTTCAATTTCTCGGTCATCTAACACCTAGTAGCACTCAAGATGTATCATGTGACCAACAGACAGAAAAAAAAACATGAAGTGTTTGTGTCAGTACAATGCCATAGCAATTGATGTACATTTCCGAATGTGTTTCATTTGTTCCGTGACGTCCAACGTGTTTCTCGGTTCAGTCCAGCGATTCTGTTTTGCCCTGAGCTCGCCGAAACGTGTTTTTCTGTAAGTCCAGGTCAGAGTTGTCCCACCTTTCAGGACGTCAACATGCGTGAAGCAGAAGCAGAAATATATTTTTTTAAAAGTTTGCTTTTTTTTTTTTTAATGTACAATAGTTTTAAGTGTAAACATTTGTCTCAGCTTTTTACATAACTAACTCTATCCAGCTGGCTCGTCTTGCTTTGACTTAAGTTTTATATCAAGCTTGAGGCATTTGCTTACATTTTCCAGCAGAGTTGAGCTCAGTCATTTAAAAAAAAATTGCACGTTAAAACTTTTGAGGGAAAAAAGTAAACGATGGCTACACTTAACTCACCTAACTTCTGTGCAGATGGGAATGTGAGTGCAGTCTGTCTATATACTGGAATGTATGTGCGATGGGATTGACTGTCGACCAGTCGAGGGTGTCGTCTGCCTATTGCCAGAAATCATCTGGGATGGGCTACAGCTCCCTGTGATGCTGGACAGGAAAAGCGCTGTCGAAAAATGGGTTCTGTTGCCGTTTCAACGTCACGTAGTTGCGATTTTTTTTGACAATTTTGCAAATGTCTCATCTCTGATCCAAATGATTATGGAAGTTTGATGAATTTAGTTACTTGTGCTGGTTTAGAGTCAAATGCGCGTCACATGACTCAAGACGAGTGAGTGTTGCCTTTCTGCCTCTCCCTCCCTCTCTGATCTGTGGACATTCTCAGCTTCACTTTCTGCACTAACTGTCTCCACATTTTAGGATTAAAAAAAACCCAACATATCAACATACAGCATATAAACCATGTGCATCTCTGTTGGAAATAAAGTTGCCTAAAAGTTTCTGCAAATTGTTTTTTTTTTCCCATCAAGTCAATATATTGTGTACTACATATTGGATCTACAATACTGAATGATCAAACGTTATACAGATTTATTTTGCAAAAAAAGTACATCGAGTTACATTTGTTATCATGAGGACTTAAATAATGAATCATCCATTCATCTCGCAGCCTGTGTGTGTGCGTGCGTGCGTGCGTGCGTGCGTGCGTGTGTGTGTGTGTGTGTATGTCTGCCGACTGTCACACTTTAATTGACGGAAGGATACTACAGTTGCTTGGGCATCAAGGAGAAAATTAAAATATTTTCAATCAGTTGGCTTCAAAGCAGTTCCAAGTCAAACAGGAACAAGAATGTTCTTCGCTAAATTTACTGATAGACCGATGCAATATGTACCGGTAGTCACCATACCATATGCCTTGTCCACATATAGAGTAGTTGGGCCATAAGATCTGTCCCGAATAGTTTGTTCTCATGTACGTGAGTGTAAAATCTTCAGTTCTCTTAGGACGATGTCGTTTGCAGCAGCGCATCACGGCAAACCGCCTGTGTCAACACCTTTGTATTTCTATAGCTCTGAAATTGAAATCATTACTCTGTGCCAGCAATTGTACCATATACACCAGGGGTCCCCAACCGCCGGTCCGCAGGGCATTTGGTACCGGGCCGCACAGAAAGAACTTACCTTAATTCAGTTTTATTTATTTCGGAATACGAAAGATGTTTTATTTTGAAAAATAACCGGATTATCAGTTACATCCGTCTGTGTCACGCTTGACACACGTCAAGCCACGCTTCTCCGTCACGTGACCGATTACGCTAAAAACAAAACGCTGGAGATCGCAAATGAGTACATTCGAGACAACTGGATTAAAGTTATGGCTGAATACTCTGAGATCGCCACAATAGCACTGTTGCTATTTCCGACATCCTACCTGTGTGAGGCGGGGGTTTTCTGCAGCAACTGCACTAAAACAAAATTACGAAGTAGACTGGACATAAACCACACACTTGAGGTGTCATTGTCTCCTATTACCCCGAGATGGGACCGTCTGGTTGCAGAAAATCAAGCTCGGGGCTGTGGTGAGTCATTTTCATGCACTTTGAATTTGCGTTGTATTGTATTTTGAAGGCATTAAACATTGCCATAGCGATCAGAGTGTTGCGGCCAGATTAGACGCTCCTTGTGTTTATTATTATATTTCGAAAACACCACAGTTTTCATGCAGCTCATACCATATTTTGTTGGTACACCTTAAATGCCGGTCCCTGAAAATATTGTCTGACATAAACCGGTCCGTGGGGCAAAAAAGGTTGGGGACCCCTGATATATACACTGACCAGTCACAACATTATGCAAAGTTGTGATTGGTCTGTGTATATCATACAGTATTTGACAAGCTACAACTTGCTCAAATCATGGGTTTCCACTCAAAATGCAATATGATCCTTGCAAAATGAATTCTATTGAGAATTACGGTACAGAGACGGCATTTGAATTCAACAGTATACACTAAATCAGGGATGTGCAACGTAACTGTGGCAGGGAGCTGTGACTTTTCCACAAAGGACCACACACTTCCTTATCAGGTGTGTGACAGAAATGGCATGTTTAAGATGGACAAAATATCCATCCATTTTCAGATCCGTTTATGCTCACCAGGGTCGTGGGCGTGCTGCATCCTATCCCAGCCGTCTTCAGGCAGTTGGCGGGCTCCACCCTGAACTGGTTGCCAGTCAATCACAGGGCACACATAGACGAACAACCATCCGTGCTCACACTCACACCTAGGGACAATTTGGAGTGTTCCATTAACCTGTCAGGCGTGTTTTTTGGAACGTGGGAGGAATTCAGAGTACCCGGAGAAAGCCCACGCAGGCAGGGGGAGAACATGCAAACGCCACACAAGAACCCTGCACCTCTGCACTGTGAGGCAGACGTGCAAATAACTCCTGGCTTCATTATTTCGGCTCACATTGCGTACATCCCATCCGTCGTTTTTGGTTTTAACAAGCTTGCAATGTTTGATTTGATGAGACACAAACCGATGCACCAAAAGGTAGAAGGAATATGAATTTGGAATAATACATCACTTATCAACGTCTTTACATATACAAACTAAAACAACCAGTTCATCCTGTAAATTGATCCAAAATCTCCAAAATATGATCATAATATAGAATCACAAGAAACAAAATAAAAACTGAGGGCACCTTAAAAAAAAAAAAAAAAAAAAAAATACTATTATCCATCCAAAGTATCGGGAAGATAAGCATAATGTGACATTAACAAGATGTTGGAAAACCTTTAAGTCAGGATTGATGAAATCCACAGCAGGAGACTTCAAGGTAAAAAAAAAATAAAACACTGGATTATTGAGATATTTGAAATAAGACATCCAAAGTGTTGTTTTCCGTGCAGTTGAGGAATGTCGAACCAAACATATTGCTTCAGCCATCCAAGAGGCACTGGATCCTGTTGGAGTGGCGGTGGTTGTGTGGTAGAAGAACGCTTTTCGGTCTGCTTCCTTTCAAATGGTGAAGGGATGGATTGACTTTCTAGAACGTGAAGGTAAATTTAACAATGTTCATTCATTTCAGTCGCACGTGTCTGCTGATGAGAGGTGGACAAAAGAACAATGCCAATACGGTTACGAATATCATGTTGGGAGCATTTGCAGATGATCCGAAGATAGAAAGGATTTCCTCAGCCTCACCAAGGAGGCTGCAAGGGAAGCTCAGCTTCTCCTAAAATGTCAAAAAGTAAGTGATCAAATAGATGTGTGTACGTACAATTGTATGGACATGTCATTGACTAAATATGCGCTACAACGCGCTCAACTTTTGTTCCGAATCAGCTTCTTATTACTGGTTACGACGCGACTCTCTTCTCATTCATTCCCACAGTTTCACTGTGCTTTAAACTGTGGACGCTGAGCGTCGACCGACCCGATCGCGCACCTGCAAGCATATACACACTCACTCACGTACACATGCCGGCGCCCAACTACGCACACGTGCGCATACGCAAGCAGCACGCACGCACGCCAAGATCAGCGACAACCGGAACGTCACCGAACATGAACGAAATCGAAACACACAGACACACAAAGTTTTTTTTCGCCCCTATTTCCTCCTCCCAACCTTCGAGCTCGATTTAGGACCAGTCTGCTGGCACCGGGTCTATCGCGATTCACGTATTGGACCCCACTGCCTTAAAATCGGAGGTAATTCGCTGAATAGCTTAGCGTTTAGCGCTGAGCACCGTTGTTTGCGCATGAGTGGTGATTCAGTTGTCATCTGATTGGTTGCCCTGTATGTCAATCAAGTAACGGGATTGATGATAGGCTGACGTAATAAGTTCTGTGTATTTAACGCCGTTGTTTGAATGGCAGCGCCACTGCTGAGGCGTTTTCGATGCTTGTCATTTGAAAACCCGGGAGCCGCATTAAGCCGGCCAAAGAGCTGCATGCGGCTCGTGAGCCACGGGTTGGCCACCTCTGGTCTTGAGAGTTGTTAGATTGTCCCAATGCATTGAAACGAGACGAGTCATTGGATAAATGCTGGTTTTGTCCTGCCCATTGGACTCTCATTGTCTCTGGGAGTCAATG